ACCGAAACTCACCATGGTCGAGAATGTTGCTCTGGTTCACATCTCCGAAGCATACTCCACTGCTAGCTATCAAGAAGGAAAAGCCAACATTAACTTCAAAACTGATTTTCAAAAATCTCACATCTCTGAGTCAAGGTTCAGTTGACTATTAGGGTTTGATCAAGGTAGGGATCTGGTTGATCTAGATTCCATCTCCTCTGCTGCTATTTTAGAGATGTTCTATCAGATGGGTTATTCAGACACCCTGGCAATTTTTTCGAAGTTCAAGAAGCCCAATCTTCCTCTAACGTGGGATGGGCTGTTTACTCTGCTTTTCAAGGGTTTTTCGTAACATATTACAGGTTCGGATAGTGCGAGCAAGCTCTTTTGCACTATTCTCTATGGATTGTACTACAGGATATATCTGGACTATGGTCCCGTCCTTTGGGCACAGTTGGTTCAAACCCCTGTTTCCTCGAATCGGCACTCAGAGATTTCATGTGCTCGTTTCTGGTCCCTCGTTATTCAAAAGGCCATTACCAGTGTCAACATTCTAGTGGTCGAAGGTTCTATCATCGTAGCCATACCTATTCTTCATACTATGAACTTTTTCGTAGCTGATCCTATGAAGTTCACACTTATCGGCTTTATTCCAGAAGCGATGTTTAACTATGCTCCTTTCGACAGCACAATTATAAATTAGTATCAATCAAGGCCTGCATCTGGACCTCTTCCTTTAACCCCGGAATACAAAAGGCTTTGGAAGAAGAGAACAAGCGGAAGAAGGGTGGGAAGCAAAAGGCAAAAGTTGGTTCCTCCGAACCAACTGCCACTCTGAAATAAGCGAGTCAAATGAGCAGCTACCAAGCCTAGGTCTTCTTAACCGGTTTCTCAAGAGGAATCATATTCTCGAACTCATTTGGAGGATCTCCAAGCCCAAAACGAATATGAAGACACAGTTGCATCTTCACACCCTATGTCTTTGGAGCCTACTGAAACTAATCCATAGGTAACCTTTACCATGCCTACTTCATTCCCACTCACTAATGACTTCTTTCAGAACTTTATTCCTCCATTATCTTCAACTGCTACTACCATTCCAATCACCATTTCTCTGTGTTCGAATGTATCTGTAAGGAGTTTCGCAACCCCAGATCTCTATTGCGCAATCAACTCCCTTTTTCACTGAATCCACTACAACAACAACAACTATCACTAGTATACCTCCATTCACCGTCAACGTATTTGATATGGGGGAATGTGCATCTGTTGTCATTATTGGTCCAATTTCTCCACCTATATCTCCTCTATGAACTACTGATCCAGATACAATTTTTGGGGATAGTTTTGATGACTTTCAAGACTTCCATTACAGCCCCTTCATTGTCCTACAAGAGAGTGATGAAGATGATGATCCAATGAAAAAAGGGCAGTTCAAGGTCCTAAATACCAAGTTGGATTCTTTGCTTGAGTCCATCAAAGCGTCATCAAGCAGTGAATACTCCTAGTCATCTGTCAAAGCCTTCCTTGAAACACTTGCAAAGGGGCATGTTGTAAATCTTTCCCTCACAAACAAAGCACTTGTTGATTGTGTGAAGACTTGCAAGGAAAAGACTAAAAAAGTCGATAAACTACTTTCTGATGTTACATCTTTCATGAGTAATTTCGAAAACTCATTCGAATCAAACACAGCAAATGCGAACAAAGTGATATCCAATCTCGATGAAGCTTTTCAAATTGAGAAAACAACTCTTGCAAAGGTTCGGACTGAAATTCAAAATGATCATGCTAAATTGCAAACATCCATTACTTTCAAGCTTGACAAGCGTCAAGAGGATTTAGCCATCGAGACAAGATCATGGATGAAATTGCTATTAAAACTGAGAAGGTGAAGGTTCTCTTGGTAAAATTATCATATGCAAACTTATAAATCAATGAGCTCAAATCTGAGAAAGCAATGATGATAAGTTGTGTTGTTGATATCAACTCGTTTCTACAATCTCTCCTTGAGACTCGTGATTCTCTTCTCATAATCTCTGGTCCACAGCATTTGGCTGATAAACCCAAGCCGGTCTTTTCTATGCTGAATCGACTTGAAGTGTTTCGGAATCTGGAGCTCTTTCGAAACAAGGGGGAAAGGAAATGCAAACAAGTGTGAAAGGTTCTGGTGAGCATGAGCAAAAGCCAAAGTCATATGATCCGAAGGATAATGTAGCGTTAGGATCAACAGGGAAAGAAAATCTTGTTAATAATTATGATGAGGAAGAAGAGGATGAAAAAGCAAAGCTTAGGCGAAAATCTCATGATGCAAAGATTGATGAGAATTTGAGAAATGCTAGGGAAGCTGAACCACGAGAGAAGGAAGCTCGTTAAGCCCAAGATACTTTGAAAACTCAGAAATCCCTTTCTCCTCCCTAGTCAATTGAATGAATCTTCAATGAAGCCATCGACAATCTAACTGTTTACTGGATGGAGCCAGTTATTTCGTTTAAATTGGAAAACACTTTGGATTCGCAGCTTGATTTTCCTATGACTCCGAAAGCGTTCCAATTTAGAAGTTTTGACAAAGTTGAGAAAGCTCTGGATTCTGATAACGATGTTAATCTTATGTTTATCTCTTTTTATCTGAAGCATGGCATGCCCTAATATCAAACCCGGAGTTCAAAGAAGATTACAGCAGTGAAGGTTTTTGTCCCAATTGAAACTGAAAGCTTCCTGAATGTTATATTCAAAACGGATAGAGGTGCTTCGAGTTCGGTGTTTGAATTTACGCTTGCAGATTTGTCGTGCATTAACCCGTTTGACTGTATATCTCTGTTTCAAGTCTTGCTAAAGGATTAACAGAAATATAAACCTATTGTGGCACATCTCAAAAGAATGTTGGTCTCGTACATTCATGAAGTTGGCAAAATGGATGTAGAGATAGTGATAATACTTTGAAAGAAACTCGTTGTCAAACCCAAAGAAATTTCGTATGATGTTTACAAGGTGAAGCTCAGAAGGATTTATAAATACGATTGGAGTATGGTTTTTCAATAGAGTGCTAGAGATGGTTCAAATGCTAAGAAATGTTTCTTCTCTCTTTCAGACAACCATCTAGACTCCACTTCATGCTTGAACTATTTTTTGGAGTTAATCAGGCACTCTAAAGCGAACGATGCTGCAAGTAAGAAATGCTTTGCAGATATGAGCAGATGGTATATTGCATTTCGCAGCACCCTGCTCAGTCTCATGCCAAAGCTCTTCAAGGTCCAGAAGCAGGAACGAGACTAAAGAATCTGCCTTCCTTATTTGACACAAAGGGAGAGATTGTTGGGTTAGGTATTAGATTGTGTCAAATTTATTATGTATATAGTTAGCCCTTTTACGATTTGGGCATGTCCATCCATCTTTATGAAGCTAGGGTTAGGTTTTAAATATTTCATGCATGTATTGTATTAGGGTTAATCGTTAAGTCATTCCTTACCGTGCCTTTATAGTAGAAGTCTTCATCGAGCTCTTCTAAGACATTGATTATTAATCATTCGAAATCTTGTTGATCAATTGTTCTTCTGTTTAATTTACTTTTCTGTTAAAGAATCTTTCAATCTTAAGTTTATTATTTCAACATATGACATTAGAGATACAAACCATGTTTCACTTTCTTTTTTTGTTGGCAATGCAAGTTTGGAGACATGTGCGATGTTGGAAGAATGATGTTCCTAAGACGTTTGATAATATTCAATGAATGTTATCGTGGTTAGATTATTAGCAAATACCCACGAAGAAGCACAACCTAATTGAAGCGGTTTAGATTATTACTGATAAGGAAGGAAAACCTCGTTTAATTAGTTTAGATGACTACATTTGGGGGACTTTGGAATTACTGAAATGTTACTATCTTTGGCAGTAAGTAATTCTATAAGAAAACCAATTTAAAAAAAGATCATTGTATTTTCATTTAATCCTGTAGTTCATAGAAACAGTAAAATTCACATGTGTTAGGTTGGTTTATTACATAATCCTATTCTAGTTGCAAATTTTAATCTCTTTGGTTCTTGTTCTAATTTTGTGTTCTTAATAAAAATTCGGTTATTCGATTTTTTAAGGAAACTTTATAGATTGTTTTCAAAACAATGAGAAATGACAATATGTAAATCAAAATCAAACAAAAAATATCCCTCGAACTCTAATCTATGTTTGAAAATTCAATTTCAATTTTCATATGATCTGGATCAATATAGTATTATATTAGACTCCTTTTAGATTTAATTTTCTCTATCAATAATAGAAGAGTCGACAAATTCCTTAGATATTGCCTTGTTATTAATTTTCAAATTAGCAAGTAGTTTTGTTAGAAGACATAGAAACTTCATTATCCAATTTAGTAGACACATGTTTCTGATATGATTCCATGTATCCAAGTTAGCAAGCATAAAACCTTTATTCTACAACTTAACACACGTTGAACCATTTGTGATATAATTTCATACAAGTGAGCAGATGTATAGCGTTCACTTTCCAAATTACCAATCATAGATACAATTAATCGAAGCTGCATCTTCTTCCACGAACTACATCATAAGCAACTGTACGAACTGCATCCAGTAACAGCAAAGACATAGCAAGTACGAGTCTAAACGAAAACGTTTGTTAAATACGAGAGTTGTTTGTCAAATATACGTTATGTTTTGAAAATACGAAGAAAAAAAAAAGTTAAGATTAAAACAGGAAAAAATAAGATTTTTTTTTTTAACATTAACCTGATTATATATTATTAAAGTCATATAGTTTTCTGTTCATAGTAAATACATCATGTTATTTATATAAGTTAAGAAAAAAAAATGTTTCTTGAGTTCGACCGACCTGACATTTTTCGACAAGCACTGATACTTTTCCATCACGAAAATTGTTACTTCATTTGATTTATCTGTTCATTTTGCTACCTTTAATTTTCATATAAGATATAAGCAATGATGTTTTATAGAAAAGATGCGCCGTGGTCTAATTATTTGAAGAAGAAGAAAATAATATTTTTTCAACCCAAAATTACTCTTAATTCCACATGACACATATATCTCAAACCCGTATTGAACCTTTGACCACAAATAGAGAGGGCAAACGTCTTAACTCTTAACACCAGTGGACTAGAAGCCTTTTGCATACCAGTGGACTAGAAGCCTTTTTGCAAAAAGAAGAGAAATAATAAGTAAAAACATTCAATGCCTTGATTAATTACTGCTTTTAATTCCTTACATCAACACAACAAACCATGCATTAAACAATAACTAATCATCTTTCAAACAAAAAAAATGATCTCCAACTTACATTAAACATCAATCAAAACAATCGAAAAGTTACTTAATCACTCCAAACAAAGAGATTTTTGGATAAGTCGACATCCTCAACAATTTCATCAGTGGATTCATCAACGTACCCAACCCCTGCATCAATTTCAAGAAGATTTTTTTAAATAAAAAAAAATTAATAATCACAAATAAGATAAAACTGTGTATGATAATATACAATTTCTATTTTTTTTTTTTTAACAAAAACAAAATATTTTATTAAATAAAGCTACAAGTTAGGATTTACAAAGCGAGACTTCAACTTTCAATTTAATGAAACTATTTCAAACTCCCAAAAGGTTAAGCTATAAGTCTTTGGTCTATAGTTGGTTATCTGACTTCCATAATATGTAAAAGATTCCGTGTTCTAGCCTATGGGACCCGGCCGTAGATCACCATGCATGTTAACGGCGAGCGATAATATAATAGTGTACCCCATCAATTATTGTTGTATATGTCTTAAAAAGTGACATTTTCTTTTTATTTTATCTTAGAAAAACTATCTTTTATAAGTTCTATGTACATATTTTTTAGCATTAGCTTTAGTTACATCATTTTACAATGATGATTATGGTTCACAAACATTCTTCACTATGTCCTTATTGGTGAACAATGTACTGTTTTGTTTTTTTTTTTTTTTGAAAGGAGAATACTAACAGTGTTAAGCTAGTTAGCGATCAGAGCATATGAGCACAATTTCTCAAACCCACAAACGTTGGAAAAAATGATTGTGTTTATCAACTTTTACAATAATGGTTAGAATATGTTTGAAGTGTGTCTACTTAATATGCAGGAAAAACCATTTTACTTAAACCTATAATTGAACTGATGGAACTAAAAGACACCAAAGACAAAGAAAAAGTGAAATGAATAAAAAAAATCTTAGTCACTTACACCGACACGAGAGAGAGAGGGAGAGAGAGAGAGAGAGAGAGAGAGAGAGAGAGAGAGAGAGAGAGAGAGAGAGAGAGAGAGAGAGTAGGATTAGGGTTTGCATGAGTAAAGATAGTTACCTAAAATGGGATCTTGAAAACTTAAATAGAACAAGTGTAACCAGGAGGAGGAGTCTTGCCACAAGTAACAAGCAACTGAAGAGCAAGCGGCAGATATATGTTGATATTCAATAACTTAATCTTTAGCGTTGTACATAAGCATACGGCAGCCTCAAGCTCCACTAGCCCAGCAAGAATTGGGCAACATTGGTTCACCACAGGGTCACCCAACCCGATATGAATCAATCCACCTAAAAGATCCACACAAGCTCCAAGCTTCAGTGCGTCAATGGGGCAGGTGGCCGCTGGCGCAGGAACAAACGGTGGTGGTGGGCATGGAGTTCCTGGCTTTGTAGATGGTGGGTTCACTACTGGTGGGAGGGTAATTGGTGGTTTAACGATGGGTGGAAGGGTGATTGGTGGTGTTACAACTGGTGGAAGGGTTATTGGTGGGGTTACAACTGGCGGTTTGACGATGGGTGGGGTAACAACTGGTGGTCTGACGATCGGTGGGAGGGTGATTGGTGGTTTAACGACCGGTGGTCTTACAACTGGTGGCTTGACGACTGGCGGGTGGGTTTTTGGTGGTTTGACAACGGGAGGATGGGTGGTTGGTGGTTTACCGGTAGGTGGTTTGGGGGATTTGGGTGGTTTATTATGGTGGTGAGGGGGTTTATCGCCACAGGGTACACAATCGAGAGCAATTGGTGCGGCGGAAGAGATGAAAAACATGGAGATTAAGAGAAGAGCAGTGAGCTGCTTAGAAGACTCCATCTTCACTCTATGTATATCGTAGAGTGATGTGAAGAAGTGGTTATATATAGAGTCAGAGTTGTTTTGCTCCGTCCAGAAAAAGCTAAAAAAATATAAATTCCTTTTCAGTACTATATCAAACTTATATGTTTGTTCATTAGTATCACCATTTGATGTTTATAACATAAATAATGTCTAATTGTCGATTAGATTTATTAACTTTGTGAATTAAAAACGGTATTTTATACGTGTGAGGAATTAACTAACACATAAATAAGTATTAAACTCTGGGTATTCATTAAAATAAGTGAAAATGACCAAATAGTCATCTTCTTCGAAGTTTTTCCACAAAATCTAAAAATATTGCCAAAAATAGCTATAGTTTTCGGAAGCCATCCCCTATGAAAATAGCGGTGGCCTGCAATTTTTTCTCTTAAGCCTAAACATCGTCGTTTTAAAGACGTTGACAACTAAATAACTTCCGTTTAGTCTCACGTGCCGCCCAGTTCACTTTGAAGCTATAAACCAAAATTTCCCCTCATTTTCATAAAATGTTTTTGCAAATTTATGCAAATTTTCCCTGAAAGCCATTAATCAATTGCTGAAGCAATGAGGAGTTTAGTTATTTATCTATATCCACGTACCACTACAAGAGGATTGGGCAACAGCGGCGATAATGTTAGGTGGGTCGCCGCTAATACTTTTAGCGGCGACGCGTCACTGCAAATATGTCGCTGATATTGTTTCGTCGTTAATACACTTATTGTCGCCGCTAATACTCATAGTCGCCGCTAGTACTATGCGTCGTCGTTAATGCCACCCGTCACTACTAATAGGTTGTCGCCCCTAATACGTTCGTGTCGCCACAAAAGCTGTCGCCGCTAATACCCTTTTGATTTTTAATTTTTTTTTTGAGTTTATTTATTTAATATTAAATTTATAATCAATCCAAATATTAATCCATATAGCATTTGAAAAATCCGATAACTTTTTATAAAAATATTAATACATATTATACAATCAATCCAAAATATTAATCCATACCACATTAAGTATTCTTCCTAATTACAAAACGTTTAATAAAATCCTAAAGTAACTATTCGTTCTCATCATCATCTCCTTCATTATTTGGTGGCGGCAATGAGCGAAACCTCTCTTCCAATGCTGCAGAACAGGCCGGGTCATGTAGTATTGTTTGCATCATTTACAACTATAAAGAAAACAAAATATATTAACAACATATCAGAATAACATTATAATTAATTATATCATTCTATAAAATATCAACATATCAACATATCAAATACACTTAAACATACATCTACTTTCCATTATAGCATTTACTTTCCAAAATATTACCAAACTACAAAATATCAACATATCAAACCATAACCAACATATCATTATATCATTCTACTTTTCATTATAGCATTGTATTTTCCAAAAATTACCAAACTACAAAATATCAACATATCAAACCATAACCAACATATCATTACACCATTCTACTTTCCATTATAGCATTACTTTCCAAATATTACCAAACTACAAAATATCAACATATCAAATCATAACCAACATATCATTATAGCATTCTACTTTCCATTATAGCATTTACTAACAATTACATGTTATTGTGGTTGTTCTTGTGTCATTGGTTGTTCCTGATCGTACATGGACACAACGGTAGGGGGTTTACGCCCAATGCCTCTGATATGTCCGCGTCGAACACCCAATATTCTTTCAAAACAATCTTTTATATCAGTTGGTGCTAGACCGCTTGCCTCAGAAGTAGCTTGGGTTCGTTGGTTTATCTCTTCGAGTAAAGCAATCTGTATTTTTAAAATATAATAAAAATCATAAAAATTAGATTACTAAATACCTTTGACGATATAAACACTTATATGAAAAATACAAATTAACCACTTACATATTGTTGCTCAACTGCAGGACTATAAAATACCCCTAAGCAATTAGAATTAGCCTTACGAAAAGCTTCGATTCGACTGATATCCTATTTAACATTAAAATTTAGATTACTTATACTTTAAATAAATATTTAAATATATCATAACTTACTTCTTTGAAACATGCATTTTTGTATGAGCTCAACTCCCCTCTGTTTACAACTACTTGTTTTGCATGACATTCTTTGTTTGACGTCGAACGCCTTAAAAATTCTGGCGTTTGAAAATGTTTGATTGCCTTTGCCCAATTTTCATGTGACATATCGTTAGGGGGGTTGTTTAATGCGGCTTAGATATCTGCAGACCCCCCGATTTCCTTAAAATAAGAATGAACTTTACTTTTTCGGCCTCTGTAAACTTTTGCAAGACTCGAATCAATGCTCCGCAACAATTGAGCACGCTCAGGATCCGTGTTAACCTTATCCAAATCAAATTTATTCTGCAAAACACAAAAAATTTAGTTAATTAAATAACAATCACAACTAAAATTAAAATTGTATCCAAGTTACCTTTAGATGTATAACTGTTGCGTTCCTTAAAGCAGGGAAAACATTGTCCCAACCAGATACGTTGAAAGGGACATTGTTCCACAAATACCTCCCAATTTCATGTGTGAACCAATTACCACGCTTCCCGATAGGGGATAGGTGATCTCCCTATCGAAGTCCAAATCTAAATCTATAGGCTTTCCCTTATTTTACCTTATCAACTTTCCCAACTCGATATTTTTTGACATGCCCCTTCTTTTTTTGGATGCTCGGCTGAAAAAATACAATTAAAAATATTAGTCACGATAACTTATTATAAAATAATAAATATATTTAATAAATATATCATAATAAAATTCACCATCCTATTCGTGCTGACCACGACTAAAGCCTCCTGGAGGTGGTGGAGCCCCGACTCCACACCTTCATGTCCAAGCCCCATAACATCGGCCATCATGGCCAAGAGTATCGCCCAAGTAAACCTCATATGCAGCTTGTAAATTACAAGATGTATAATATAGAATACAATATGAATAAAAGTTAGTTACCCTGTGAAATTGTAAGATATACAATATAGACAAACAACATAAATAAAAGTTAGACAAACAATATGAATTAAAGGTACATTTCAAATAAAGTTTCTATTACAAAAAAAATGATTTTTTTAATCAGAATCTTCATCATATACTTCAATGTCTTCTTCATCCGTATCATAATCAGAATCGCCATCATCATAATCAGTCTCTTCATCAGAACATTATCGATTCTACCCGTTGGCGGAGGTACTTCTGTCTCATCTTCATCGTCATAATCAGCATTGTTTTGATCTACGTTAACATTGTTTTGAAAGTATTGTGAGAATTCGATAAAAAGTTTAGCTCCAGATGAAGAGTTGTTTTGAACTATCTCAACATTTTCAGCCTCCACATTGTCGACATCTTGGATAGAGTCACTATAAGCATTTTGGACACGAGCATTGTCCGATGGTAGATCCCAAATATTTCAATGATTAACATGCTCGACGACACAACGAGGATTGTTGTTTTGGTTTCTTCGATGATTAATAGGCTCGCAGATGCAGAACACTTGTTTGGCTTGCGAAGCATATATGAGTTGATCATCTTGGTACGCTTCTTTTTCTGTGTCGACACTTATGAAATTATCATCGGGAATATCTCCCGTATTGAACCACTTGCACCGAAATATTATAGTCGAATAATCATATGGATATTGCACCTCCATAATCTCTTCTAACTGGCCATAATATTTCTCTCCATTCTCACCAACCGCTAGAACCCCAGAGTTTTGCGTTTTTCATTGTGCATCACGACTAAGTACCATAAACCTAACATCGTTGACTATACACGCAGTGTAAGGATAAACATCCAATTGTGAACCCATTTAAAGGGCTGACAACTCTTTGTGGAATTCAGGAGAGTTTTCTTTTTCCATCTGATAAACCTATTAAACATATGTTGATGTGTTATGTATTCTTGATTCATTAAATTTATTCATATGGTATGAATTAATAAGTCATGTACAAATTTTTGGACTAGATAAATGTTTTTGTCTTTTATCTAAAAGTAGAGTTTATATTTTATAAACTTGTTTTATAAAATTTAAACATTTCTTTCCATCTTTTTCTCTTGTGGACAAGAATAGATTTTGCTAGATAAGTGATGGACTTTTGATTATTTAAAAGAAAAGAAATACATGTCTTAAGGTGCATAGGAGACAAGTTTGCTTTTGGAGACATGTTTGCTTAAAGTGTTAAGACCTAATGATCCATGAATTCACTTTATGTGCATAAGAGATGAGTCTTGCATTCATCTTTTCCTTGCTTGATGCAATTGCCGAAACATGTTCCTCATCTCTTACTCTCTCCCTATTGTTCATCTTTTCTTGAAGAACACTTTCTTTTACACTCCGTCTTCATGTTCATATTGGTTATGAACTTAAAGATTAAGGAATTAAGATTTTATGGACTAGCATCTACATCAAGTTGAGTCATTGTTGGTGTCTTAAAGGTTCCACATTCTTCATCAACTTCCAAGCCACCCAAAAGGACCCAAAGAACTAAAAAGGTTGTCATTTCTTCACCTCTTATTTGTTTGGTGTTTAAATCTTTCTACAACTTGCAAGGAGATCCTTGGTGGGTATAAAATGTTATGTTATATTCAAAATTTGAAGTATTCCGTTGCAATATTTCTCTAGTTTATGAAACTATTTTTGAACTAAAACCTAACAGTACACACTTAGAATGTCTGAAAGTACGCAAGTGAAAGATCATGTGGATAATCTCAATCACATCATCTTGGATCTACAAGGTGTTGACGTGAAGATTGAAGATGAAAATTAGGTGCTCGTTCTTATGTTCTTTTCCTAACTCAGATGAGAATTTTGTTGATAACATGTGCTATGGTAGGACAACGATCACTGTGAAGGATGTGAAGGACTCAATAATGTCGATGGAACTAAAGAGAAAAGTTTCAGTTAGAGAGGAGGTGTTCAGTTTCAATTTGTTTGCAGGGAGAGGGAGGAAAGTAGAGAGGAAAGGGAGAAACAG